TATATAGTATATATATATATATAGTATATATATATATATATATGTATTATATATATATAGATATACATACAGACACACACACACACACACACACACACACACACACATATATATATATATATATATATAACTATATGTAGATGTAAATGTTGACTCGCATATTGTGGGTTCTTCATCTCATGTCTCATGTTCGTTTTACCTACCAAAGGGGAGCCGATTTTCCACGAAGGACTCAAAGGCTGGTCATGCTGCAAAAAGAGGACCGCAGATTTTTCAGGTGTGTCTAGTATCCTTTAACGTTGACTTAGTATCTCTGTTCCCCATCTGAGATCGCTGAATACTCTTATACGGTGCTTTGTACGTACGTACTTGTGTACATTCAGTTGCATTGGTGTAGGTATGTGTTTTTTAGATTGGATGTTTTGTTCCGGCCGTACGATTAGGTGATTGTTAGTTTGATATATTGAGTTTTGTACATTTCTAACTTCAATTTCGGCGCTATAGGCATGTTGGTATGTACACCTGTGTTGTGTGTAGTCACACAAACAAAGTTGCATGGAGCTTAACCTACTGAATAGCACGCCTTCTATGGGTTCACGGATGGTGTTTCATATGTCCAGATTGGCATATGACAAAGTGTATGCATATATGCATTGGCACACACTTTAATACGCACAAATTCACAGGTGTTATAAGTTATAGGTTTTAGGGGTTTCATTGGGAATTAGTGATCACTCAACAATCAGTGTTCGTTGCTATGGAGACAGATCGAGCGTTGATTCCAACTTAGCGTCAAGTACGTGGAGAAGGGCCAAAGCGTAAAACGTTTGCAAAATCAAACAGTCGGTTGAATGAATAAAAGTATACGGGTTAGAAGTGCGCCAGCACGAGATCACTGACAGTGCATGGGTACGAAGCACATGAAAAATCATTTGATATGATCTGATATTGAGGCTTGTAACGTTATGCGACTTATATCTATCAACGCATACGGTCCAGGTGTGTATACTCCGTGGTTACACCCTGTAGCTACTGCTATATAAAGTAGAGAGTATCGTATTATGTGGGCCGTATATACATCGTCCGTAGTATGCAAATGAATATATGGCCCATGCCAATGTCTACCGGGTGCTGTAACCGTAAGTGATAAATACTGTGGGGTATACCGGAACTACGGTGTCACAATAGTTTAGCCACTCGCTCGCAGCTATCAAATGGGTATGGTCGGCTTTCATAGTGCAAAGGAGAAATGCGCACGAGGATACAGCGGTACTAAGAATGGCATCGGTACTAACGAGTCAATGAGGGGTAACCTCAAATAGGCAGTCCCCAAGCAACTAATCAGTGCAACTGTATCCGTCACAGCCATAAATGCACAAATCTATTGGTCTCTGTATGCGATACGAGTACTCACCGTTGTCGGCTCATCCTCTCCTTTCTGTGTCCGCAGAGTTCCTGGCCTTCCCAGGCTGCACCGAGGGTCGGCACTTGGACAAAAAGCCTCAGGCAGAGACGGTCGTTGCCGAAGGTATGGCATTGAGTTGAGCTCGGTTATGCCTATGTTTTGATGTGAGGTACAACACTTGCTGTATTCACGTATGCTGTATCCCATTCCACCAAGTCACGACTGCTATTTGTACTACCAAGTCGTGACGGCTATTGGGGATCAGTGTGTCAGGTGTGTATGATGAAACACATGTAAAATACTCAGAAGTCGTTTTGAACAATCGCCTCGAGACTTGTGTGGCAGCAAGCCCTGCCTTCTCAACGGACTGCATTGCACCCGAAATAAATAAGCCCGCAGTGTGCATATGTGTCTTCATCGGGGTTAGGTAGTGACCTGTGCGTAAGCAATTATCTATATATATATCCTTTCGTATAAAGGATACATATCTTCGTATAAAAGGATATACAACTTCGTAAAAAGGACATATATCCTTTTCTGCTTCGTATTCGGCTGCATACACACATCCAGACGGTATTGAATACACTCTAAACACACATTCATTCTTGTTATCCTCCGGTACAGAGCCCATCGCGCCTACCCATCACGCACCCATCGAGGAAGACACAAAACCCAAAAGCGACGAGAGCGCCGCAGTGGAGGTAGCCATAACACGCGGTCCCTCTGCGCAGAAGGCGTACAACACCTTCATTCAGAAGCACCTGGCAGACAAGGCTGCGAGAGACCAGGGCATTGTGGATGACGCAAAGGTCTGCGAGCACAAAGGCTGTAGTAGTACGTACGGTGAGGTAGGTGTAGATGCAGACGTGGGTGATCGGGGGGGTTCATATGTTTTGGTAGGGTTCAAATACTTCGCGTCTCTGTTCCAAGAAAGGGAATGGGAAGTTCTGTTTTTAGGCCAGACCCTCTACTGGAGTTCCCCGTGTTCGAAATCATCACATCTGTGGTACATATCTACGTGACCAGCTCACAGCCTTCCTAATGAGTTGTTCTATTTTTAGACTGGACTCTCTCCGTGTACCTCCTTGTTAGGAACCATCACATCTGCGGTACATATCTACGTGACCAGCTCACAGCCTTCCTCACCCCACACCATCTCATATGCACTGTGCAGGCAAAGAAAGAGGACAATTCACGATGCGTATATCACTCTGGCGCACCTGTATTTCACGAGGGATTCAAGTCGTGGTCGTGTTGTCATATCAAAACCTCTGATTTCCAGGAGTTTATGGACCAGAAGGGATGCTCTGTAGGCACACACCTGTGGGCACCACAAGAAGTAAGTAAACACACTCGTTTGTACACAAGAAGTAGGCAAACACACATATGTACACAAGAAGTAAGTAAACACACACATGTACACAAGAAGAAAGTAAACACACACTTATGTACACAAGAAGTAAGTAAACACACTCGTTTGTACACAGGAAGTAAGTGAACACACATATTTGTACACAAGAAGTAAGTAAACACACACATGTGCACACAAGAAGTAAGTAAACACGCACACATGTATACAAGAAGTAAGTAAACACACTCATTTGTACACAAGAAGTAAGTGAACACTCATATTTGTACACAAGAAGTACGTAAACACACTCATTTGTACACAAGAGGTACGTAAACACACTCATTTGTACATCGACTCCACACCCGTACTATACACTTAAAACCTTTTCTGTATATGGAGATAACATCCATTTGCATTATATCTGTAGCGCGTTTATGCCTACAGGTTAAGTAGATAGCACAAGCAGCATGTACAGGTTAAGTAGAAGTAATTCATAAACATTGGCTACAATGTGTAGACCCGGGAGCACGCACGTGAGTCATTGGCGAGGATGACTACGAGATCAGTCACTCTCTTGGAGGTCTCATAGTATTATCTTTATCTGCGTAGCCTGGACCATAGTGACGAGATACCACTGCTGTGCATGTACCAGCGAGTGTGCCTTATTCAGTGTTTGCCTTTCTTTATTGCTACACTCATGCCATGGTCTGCTAATACTGAACCGTAACGTGCACAGGACACCACAAGTCAAACCGTGGAGTGTCGGACGGACTTCTTCCAAGGTGCGGAGACACTGTCGCTGAGTGTGTTCGGAAAACACATTGATATAGAGAACACGGTACTGAAGGTCACCAATCACAAGGTATGTTTTGCCATAGATGCTACCGCACAGGGGATTAGGGCTATTGCCCGTGTAGGTAAAAGCCGTATCTACATCGTGGAGTAGTGTCGAATGAATTGGGTATTCACGCCCTAACTGAACCTAGACACATTCATAGTATGAATATCGTCACAAAATATACGTAGACCAACGCGTTCACAGACAATGCGCTACATGCAACTATACTATGTACACGTTTTGGACCTGCTGGCAAACACAGGACGTTTTGCTTCAACCACCCCTTGCTATCTCCTCCTATTGGACACAGCTCTGACATTCAGCGCCATGTGTGTGTAGTTATGTGTGCCACGTGTGCGTAGTTATGTGTGTTTACGTCTTCGTGTTGTGTATCTGTGCATAGTCTTAGCAATGGTCAGCACCACCATCACGGCGACCGCCGCATGTGAGGTGTGAGCAGTTCTAAGTGTCTTGTTAGCTTCTATTTAGCCTCTATTAGCGCAAGCCATGTCCTATTCTGGTCCACACCCAGTGTCAATCAGTTGTTGCTTGAGCCTGGATTACATCTATACGGGATAGTAACTGCTGCATCGGGGTCAGTAAAAGATGCGGAATTCTGCCCCAGTTGCCAGGCTTTAAATGCGCCTCTGATTTGCCAAGTAAATGTAACAGTGGTACGATCACTGCTGACCCGCCAGGGGTATTCCTGAACGAATATCACTCCATGCGGAATCCTGCCCCAGTTGCCAGGCCTTTAAATGCGCCTCTGATTTGCCAAGTGAATGTATAAGTGGTACGATCACTGCTGACGAATATCACTCCAAAGTGTAATTGTAACACTCCAAGCTTAAATAGTCATGTCTACACTACACCCCTCTCGCAGATCTGTTTGGACATGAAGTTCGAAGGCACCAAGCACTGCGTGATGGATATTCCGCTGTACAAGGTATGGGTCGGATGTGATCTCTTATCTGATAGGCAATGGAGAAGATACCGAAAATTAGTTCGGAATTTTACGCGTATATTGTGCCAGACCATATCCTTATATATCCTGGTATTATATGTTGCCACTGTGAACATATCACGTCATACTGTGGCATTCTACAAACGCATACGACGACTGCAACCCATGAATCCACAGACATCAAGTATCAACCCAAACTATGTTCAGCATGTACACACGTGTTATGAATTGTACCTACCATACGTATTTGTATATTATATTGTACCTACATTCGGGCTATACGTACGTGTCAGGCGGTTAAATGACAATAAATTCGTCATTCAAGTCGATGGGCGTGTGGAGTATACATCCCAGCCTATCAATCGAAGTGTGCACAGCTACAATCATATACCGTACGTTGCAAAAGCTACAATCATATACCGTACGTTGCCAAAGCTACAATCATATACCTTACGTTGCAAAAGCTACAATCATATACCTTACGTTGCAAAAGCTACAATCATATACCGTACGTTGCAAAAGCTACCGTGCGAGCTATATGTACTCGTGTGCTGTCCACGCACACATACATTGAGGGGTTTAATTTGTATCGCTCCGCATTTCACGCAGGAAATCGATCCCACGAAAACCACAGCCAGAGTTGGACCGGCGAAATTGGAAATAGGAATCACAAAGGCGGATGCTGGTCAGTGGCCGCAACTCAAGTAGCAGTAGTGAACCAGGTTTATTATGTAATTAAATCTGCACTTCATCGCGAAATTTGGGTCATGTGGTCGAGTTTTGGGTCTGAAATCGAAAACACAAAGTTGTTATCATCGTATAGTCTATACACCATCTAGCAGTGCTTGTCTGATATCTTGTCGGCCAATCAGATCGCTTGCTCCAGCTACAGGCAGTGGCAGACTTACGAGTGCTCCTCTTAGCTGCATACCGTTTTGGTTGATGCGATTGATTTCACATAACCATTAAGTGTTCAGATAGTAACCATTAAGCGTTCAGATAGTAACCATTAAGCGTTCAGATAGTAACCATTAAGCGTTCAGATAGTAACCATTAAGCGTTCAGATAGTAACCATTAAGCGTTCAGATAGTAAACATTAAGAGTGTGTTTACGTAGTAACCACTAAGTTGGCCCAAATGCGTTTGTACATGTTCTCTGCAATGCAGGCTGCACAGTTCAGTTAGTTTGATCAGCGTATAGATCCCACTAATCTACTTCCTGCATATTGTGTCTTCATTTCCCTTGAGACGGGATTCACATTATATCTTGATTCCCCTTGAGATGGGATTTTATCCTCACACGGCGTAGTTCTCGGACATGTGGTGCTTGTGAGTAGCTACGTGTTTGTAATATTTCATATTTGTTGCGAGTCTGCTGTACATACACGTCACACTTTGCTTCCAATCCACGTCCACTTCGCTTCTATCTACGTCACACTTTGCTTCTAATCTACGGTCACACACTGCCGAGATGCGCCAGATCCACGTTCACCGTTCGCATGGTAACCTGACGTGGTGATAAAGGAACGGTATATCAGCTGAGAGTGGCAGAGGGATGATACGAAAAAACCATGTGACAACAAGAAAAAAAACTATGTGATAACAAGGATGATAGAAAAAAACCATGTGACAACAAGAAAAAAAACTATGTGATAACAAGGATGATAGAAAAAAACTATGTGATAACAAAGTCTGAGCTAATTGTAGACCAATTCATGTGCGTAGACGCGAACACGGATGTTTGTGCCATGAACGCCCGAGTAGAGGGAGGTGAAACTAAGCACGTGGCAATCGTAAACCGACAAGTGTTACGACTGTGTTGGCGCCAAAGCAAAGACATACGCTGACTGGCACAATGCCAGAGCTTATCACACATTCATGTGAATCGAGAGCATACCCAGAAACACAATAGTCGACATGAGCATCCATGCATGTCTATCTGTGTACGACACACGTGAGCATATCACACCCAGAGTCATATGACCAACAATGCCAATCACACACACACCGGATCGGGCAGAGGATTGAGCGGAAGACCCATAACAGTGACCGGAGCGATTAATGGCGTGTTTTCCGTAGTCTGTGGGGGTTGTTGCAGTTTGCTTTTGCTACGGATCAGTTGGTACTCGTTATCTGGGGTCACATCGTGTGATACCAGGGTCCATATACTGAAAGCGTACCCTGTATGCGACGTTTTGGGGTTGGAGTACAGATTTCAGGAATTAGGTTTGAGGTTTTGGGGTCTTGAGATATGAGGATTGGAGAATTTTAGGGCTGAGAATTTCATTAAAGAGAAAGGACATATATATGATGTCGGATGACTTTAGGGACAATGTCAGCGCTTTGTTTGAACGTTCAAACAAAGACATCCTGCAACTAATCGCGTTGTGTAGCAAACCAGATGTGCTATCCCTTTCTATTTCCCAGTCAATCATATATCACATGCACCGTTATCGTTCACAGCTTTCAGACCTCGGCCTGATGAATGAAAGGGAGGTACCTTCTGCCTGTCCCGTTTGTGAATTTTGGACACTAATACACAACACGAACACAGCCATTTGCGAAAAGACGCGGTGGAGCATACGGATTACACCTCAATTCCAAGACAGTTTCGGTACTTCTTAGTTCAGGTACGGTGCACGAGTATATGCCCTATACATGCAACATCGGCAATATTGAATATTTATAAGCAGGGCTGGCATCTATATAAACTCATTTGTATTCTTGCACTACGAATTGGGTTCTTCATATATATCCGAAGTGTTTCAGATGTATTTAAAGGCTGTACAGGCCGATATTAGCACGCACTCATTAATTATACAATTTACATAAAGGTATGCATATCATCCCCACTGTCGTAGCGCACGACTAACAACATATCCATCTCGCTATTGGCTTTTAAGTATATACCGCCTATCGATAAAGTGGGCCGTCTGGAGAACTTGGTAACACTCTCTGTGTCAGCAATGGCTCTGTCGTCGACTACATCGGTTGTTGTGGTGGGGGCAATCACGGTCACACCCACCAGCACAATACAGATTCCTGTGTGTATGGTATATGCAATTCTTTTAATATGAACTTTAATTGGTATATTGCCTTGCATATAACCGTATGTATGTGTATCCACACATGAGTTGTAAAGTACTTTCGA